AAATAAATAAATAAATAAATAAATAAATAAAAATAAAAATTGAGAAGAGAGGAGGAAATTTTCATTTTCCTGTCTGCCCAGGAATAATGACAACACAGTTCTGCTTCTGGCACAGAGGAAGAGCGTCTCAGATCCCAAAATTCCCCAACAAGGACATGGACCTCTCCGTGATACCCCAACAAAGCGTGAATTCAGCCACGCTCATGAAACTTTCTTTGCCATTCTCAATGGGGCATGTTTCAACATCCTCTCCCCTACTCTCACCTGATTATTGTTCTAATGTGAACTAATTTTTCATTCTTATTTTCAATTGAGTGTATGGGTCGGGGTTTAAAAACATTCAACATCCAAACCTATGGAAACAAGGAAAATGAAACAACCTGAAATCGTAAAGATTTATGACAGATACAATGATGTTCCCTTAAGCTGCCCAGCTAATAAAGGGATACCTAACAAAGAAGTTAATCTGTATTAGTCAGGTCCTACAGAGAAACAGAAACCAATGGGATGTGTGCATGTATGTGTGTGTCTATATATATATCTCTCTATATATATGAAGAGACGTATTTTTAAAAAATTTTGTTTGTGTCAATTGTGCCTCTAGGTATGAGAAGAGATTTGTTGTAGGGAATTGGTTCATGTAATTACGGAGGCCAAGAAATCCCAGTATTCTCAAATCAACAAGCTGGAGATTGGGGAGAGCCAATGTATGTTTATTTGGGTGGCTAGGAGATGTGGTAGATAGAGTTTTTATTATAAGGAGGAAAGTCTTCTGAGACACCTTTTGGCACCCATGCTGGCAACTGCTCACCTGACTTCCACAAGGGAGTCAGCCCTGAAAGATAAACCATGTGGCTGAGCAAGGACTTTTTTTTTTTTTTTTAACTTTTTGTTATAAACATTTTCAAACACAAGCAAAAATATAGAAATGTGATGCATAGAATGATATAATGAGCTTGATGTATCCATCATTCAGCTTCAACAATGACCAGTGTTTTGTCATTCTTATTTCACTTATTTCCTCCATTCAGTCTTTTCCAAGGGCTAGATGTTAAAGCAAATCCCAAATGTTATGTAATTCCAGCCATGTACATTTAGACTGTAATTCTAACAGATAAGGACTTTTTATAAAACATAGATACAATAGTGTTAACACATTTTTAAAAAGTAACAATCCCTTATTTAACAATTTAACAATTCCTTAAGAATTTAAATTTTAATTTTTAAATTTAAATTTAGAGCCAGGCATGGTGGCTCACGTCTGTAATCCTAGCACTTTGGGAGGCTGAGGTGGGTGGATCACCTGAGGTCAGGAGTTTGAGATCAGCCTGGCTAATGTGGTGAAACCCGGTTTCTACTAAAAATATAAAAAAATTAGCTGGGCGTGGTGGCACATGCCTGTAATCTCAGCTACTTGGGAGGCTGAGGCAGGAGAATCACTTGAATCTGGGAGGCCGAGGTTGCAGTGAGCTGAGATTGTGCCATTGCACTCCAGCTTGGGCAACAAGAACGAAACTCTGTCTCAAAAAATAAATTAAAAAAAAATAAATTTAGGATTTTAATTTTTTTAATTTAAATTTAAAATTTAACAATTCCTTCAAATTCCTAGACTGTGTATAATTTTCCCAGTTGTCTCAAAAATATCCTTGTACAGTTGATTTGTTTAAACAGTACTAAAAACAAGTAAAACAAGATCCAGATACTGCATTTGGTTGATATTTACATGTTTCTTAAGTGTCTTTAAATCTGTAATAGTTCTTTCTTCTCCCTCCACCCTTTTTTCTTTTCTTTTCTTTCTTATTTTTTTTTTTTTTTGGTTGTTCCTAGCAGTTTTATTTTTAATAGCCAAAAACTAGGAAAAAACTCAAATGTCTACCAATAGGTAAATGGATAAGCAAACTGTGATATAGCTATACAGTGAAATACTACTCAGCAATAAAAAGAATAAGTATGCTACAGCATGAATAAATCTCAAAATTGTCAAGTAAAGAAGTCAGACAAAATAGAGTACACATATTGCATGATTCCATTTACGTAAATTTCTAGGAAATCTAAAGCAACGTATAGTGGCCAAA